TAGGGCGCATTAAGGTCGTAAGTTTGTATCGTGGGGGCTTGGATCCCCATAGGAAGGAGGAAACTAGTTGGTTAAGTTGACAAAAATAAGATCGGGCAATCCAGACTGGGGAGTTCCTAAAGACATAAGTTAGTTTAGGTAACAGCTTCATCTTTACTAGGTTGATTTTCCCCAGCAGGGATAAAGGTAAGTTTGCCCATGCCTTCAGCCGCTGCCTCATGTCCCCGAGGACCGGAAGTAGATTCAGTGCTAAGTACTCCTGCGGTAGCCTGGAGACCACTACCCCAAGATATTTGAAGGAGTCCACCCAGGACAGTTGGGTAACCGACCTGGGTACAGACCTAGCCCCTGCATCTATGGGGAACAGTACCGATTTATGCCAATTGACCCTGAGACCCGACACGGCAGAAAATGCATCCAATACCTCTAGGGCACCCTGCAAGGAGGCTCCAGGATCATTAAGGAATAAGAGCAGGTCGTCCGCATATAGCGCCACCCTCTCCTCCAACCAGCCAATGCGAAGCCCCTTAATGAATGGTGATTTGCGCAATGCCTCAGCTATGGGCTCCATGGCCAGGGCGAAGAGAGTGGGCGACAGCGGACAGCCCTGCCGAGTACCCCTGCAGATAGAAAAAGGCCCAGACAGGTTATTACCTAGTTTCAGAGAGGCAAGAGGCTCTTTGTATAACAGTCTGATCCAGCGAGTGAACTCCAAGGGGAACCCCATCTTGTCTAGGACAGCCCACAGGTAGGACCATTCCACTGTGTCAAAGGCTCTCTCTATGTCAAGAGACGCCACCACCCGAGTCCCGGTGTTGACATGGGATGCATGTATGTTGGTGAATAATCTGCGTAAATTAATATCGGTGGATCTGCGGGGCATGAAGCCAGTTTGGTCCGAGTCTATCAGACTAACTGACATCTTGCTGCATTCAGCCAGTACAGCCAAGATGGCCGCCTCTGAGACACCACGAGGCCTCCCAGACGAACGGGTCGACCTGTTCTTGTTGCGTTTCATGTATGTCCCCGCCGAGGAGGAAATCAGGTAGAGGATGCAGTCGGCAACACCTGACCACAGGTAAGTGAAGGAAATCAGCACCAGGATAGGTTCAGGATGTTAGATTGAGCGGAGCACTCCATTTGCACGTCTGCACGGGATCACATGCCGGCCACGCCCCCCTGGCTGGAAATTTTTCGGATGATAGGGGCTGGCAGCCAATGACCTCTCTGCTTTCATTGGGTATTTTGACAGTGACTGGCAGCAGCTGTCAAAAAACAATGCAAACAGCGGGATTCCTCGATCGACCCACTCCTAGGTGTTGATGGATAAATCTGCTCTATGGTCACCTTTACCCTCTGCTGTGAAAACATGAGGAACAAGAGTCAATGAGAGTATCAATTAATAAAAAAATACTAGCCGTTTGCTGAATGGCCGATGGGCCAGGCTAGTGACACTCTGGGGGGAATTTATCAAAACTGGAGCAGTTGCCCATGGCAACCAATCAGCTTCTCTAGTTAAGATTTGAAAATGAAATAGAAAAGCAGATTGGTTGCCATGCAGAGCTGCTCCAGATTTTATAAATCCCCCTGTGTGTTTTCACAACCAAGGGGAAGTTGCTCAGTACAGCACAGTACCAGGACATGGCAGATCGCTGTGAAGCACTGCCATAGCTCCGGCTACTACCATGTGTTACAGGATCACCATGGCCCTACCAGATATAAAATATGTCTACTGATTTGTGCCAAGCTGGACCAGTGTAAGGATACATAAATATTTATACCTGGAGTTCAGCTTTGAGAATATGTTAATACTTGAATGTAGTTATAAGTAGGGATGCACAGATACCAAGCACTGTACTCGGTACAAGTATAGACACCTTTCCAGCTCCAGGACTAGACTAGAGAAAAACTCAAAAGTTAGGAGGCAGCTGTCATTTGTAAGGAGCACACGGAGCTCCTGGGATTTGTACATCTCTGTTTTAATGTACGATTTTATATATATATATATATATATTGTTCTATGTACAATCCTTGTTTTATTGATTGCATGTAATAATCTACTTTTTTGAGGTTGTGGATTTGGGGTTTTCATGAGCTGTAAGCCATAATCATCACAATTATGACAAATCACGGCTTGAACTATCTTGCTTTGCATGTAATGAGTCTCTCTCATATATTAGTTTCACCTTTTAAGTTGCATTAGTGAAATAAATGAACTTTGCACGATATTCTAATTATTCGAGTTTCACCTGTATATATAACGATTGCACCAATCCCATTTTTTCCAGACCAAGTACCAATACTTGTCCTCATACATAAAATTATTGATACATTTTTGTTTAGTGTCATGTGACATTTCTCTCAAACAATACAGACTAATGATTTCAGGACAGTGGTGAGGTGCCAGGGCATAGTCACAGCTGTAACCTCTGCGACCCTGGTAGTTCTCATGAAAATGGAAATTATCGGCACTGGTATCTGAACATTCCTTGGTATACGTACATAGTGTGAGGAATTAGCTGGACAGAAGGGTATATGAATGAACCTTGAAACCCAGCGCAATGCCGCGCACTACAACGCAGGTCAAGTGTCAGAGCAAATGTAAAAAAGAAAAACCATGTCAATAAAAGCCAACTCCAGCAGGCGAGTCCGGCCTGTTATTCTCAGCGCTCATTGTGTATAATGTCCATTATATATTGGTTGGTGGGGGAAACCCAGAGACCTCATTTCTGCACAGGGGCCCTTTGCTGTCTTTACTAGGGAATTTAGATGAATATCAGGCTGAGGGTGTTTCGCGCTGCCATGGCACAAACAGACCCCCCCATATCAGAGTGTACCCCATCTTCCTGGGTCTTCAGGTCATGTGATCTGTCAGAAGGCACTCTCCGGCAGGCGGCACTATAATAGGGGACCTGGTTGTCAGGGGTAACACTGGCTGTCCGCGGTGGTGGTGCCCTGTGATGGTTGCGAGATGCAGTTCCAGATCCTTCCCCCTGCCTCTCCCGTTCCTCCGCCCTCTCATAACATGATAGAGGAAGCGGGAGGGGGGGCAGCATGGCTGAACGGCTGATCAGCTCCTTCGGGAACCTGAATCTGGACGGGCCGCGTCGCAAGCGAACACCCGGCAGACAGCAACAGAACCAACACCCGGCTCCACAGCGCCCCCCGCCGTCCAGGTTCACCAAGCACATATACATGCTGAGGGGGCTGCCGGGCTCCGGGAAGAGCAGCCTGGCCAGGTACGGGGAGCTGGAGGGGACATGTAAGGCCGCCTCCCATGTCCCGCTGCAGTGATAAACAGCATGAGCGCCTTCATTATACTCAGCTGGTGAATGGTGGTCAGCTGACCCCGAATGTTTTCCTCAGGAGCCCCTCCTCTGGTCATCATCAGTGTGTACAAGGAGGTCACTGCACAGATCATGTCAGGGATATTTGGGATATCGCCCCTCAGTAGTCTTCTCTGTACCGTCCCCGCACATTACAATTACCTCCCGGATTTCTGGAAACTTTTTTTGCTTTTATATTCTTTATAGTTTTTTGTCAACTTAAATTGTCACATTCAGGGTGTTGGTCACATGGCGTGCTGTTCCAGGTCATGTGACCTAAAGCCAAGGCACAGGGGGTAGTAACATCAGCAGTATCTGTAGTTGTATTGCATGAATTCTGCTGCTCTTCTCTCTCACCATGCAGAGTTCTGGGGTTCTCTCCCGGGGCTGGGAGATTAGATTTGAGGGCTCGGATTAACATGAACCTGGGAGAGAAACAGCAGTGAATCTTACCTGTGCAGTGAATGTCAGGACGGCTATTTGTAGTCTGCAGCAGAGGTGCATGTAACAGGGTGACAACACAGGAGCCCAACTGGGAGACAGTTGTCATCCCCTAACAGGAAGTGCCCCAATAAAGGCCTTTATGCTGGATCACCAGGTCTTATTTTCAGGAAAGGTGCAGATTTAAAGAAAAGATTGAAAACAGCTTTTGAAATGACATTCACATGTTAAAGATTATATGACATTTTACTGAGTAGGTTTAGATCTGTTTCAATGTTCGGTCTCATAGCTCGTGCCTAGAGCAGCCTTTCTCAACCTTTTTACCCCAGAGGAACCCTTAAAATAATTTTCTGGTCCTGGGGGATCCCTTGTTAAAACAAAAACATGCAGCTCACATTGGGGGTCAGTGGGTACAATGCTGCTCACATTGGGGGTCAGTGGGTACAATGTCCCTGTTACAGTGGACAGAATGCCACCCTCACAGGCAGCTAAGAGGATAACTGTTGTCATGGCGCTGGCTCTGCCATGTAGTATTGGCCCTGGCTCCAGTAGATGGGAGGTCAGCTCAGGGAACCCCTAACCACTCTAGAAGGAACCTTGGGGCTCTTCAGTGGAGATGGCTGGTCTAAGGGAAGTTCTGCTTTGTTGCACTCTCCTTCCTATTCTGTGTGACTCGGGAATAAACTAGAAGCGTGTATGTGTCACTGTCACACGGTGGGGCTGGTCTCTGCACCAGTAAAATGACAAGCCAATCATTTGTCTTCCTGTAGGAAGCTGAAGCGCGAGTTCCCCTCTGCCGTTGTGCTGAGCACAGACGATTATTTCCTGCTGGAAGATGGAACTTACATGTACAGTCCGGATCTACTACAGGACGCACACAGGTGGAATCAGAAGAGAGGTGAGCTGCGGCTGTAGAAGGTCAGACTCCATTCACCCGCCACCTTCTGCTGCTGTGCGGTAATGATTCCTCCGTGCCGGGTGAGGGGGATGATCAAGAAAGAGAACAAATCCACTATATGTGTCCGGAGCTCTCCTGTGTAATGACAAGGCAGTGGACTCCTCTTCCTGTTTGACCTTTCAAAGAGCTACAGCCCGCGGTATACTGAGACGCCGGAGCGGATCCCGACTTAGACGTCGAGATCCGCCCAGCTGCGTGAGTGATAGCTGGCTCTGTCTATCTAGAGGCACAGCCAGCTGTACCCGCCCCCTCCCCCGTCCGTTCCGCCAGTCAGCGCTGGCAGATCGGGGCGGGGGGATCCAGCCCCTCCCCTGTCACGGCAGAGACAGTCTCATTGTCACAGGTCGGCTAGAACTATGAGGTGAGTGGAAATCACTCATGTCATAGTTCTCCTTTAATGTAACGAGGCGGATGGACTAGAATGTAGAAATGGGAATCATTCATTTCATTTATATTGGATATCCAGACATTGGGCACAAGGACTCTCCCTGGGTACAGAAATATAATAAAGTACAAATGGCC